TTTTTTTTTTTTTTTTTTTTTTTTGGTAAGGTTTGAATTTTTGGATATCAAGAACAATATCGTCTGTACATTTTAATTAAAAAGATTACAGAAGTTTTGGGTTGTGTCCTGTTGTTATAGCTTGTTTTTGGCGTCGTACTGGTAATTTGCGAACCTCAAGTATTCCACACAGATCGAGCCATCGACCCGACCAACTGCATGGACTAACTGTGTCTAAATGCACGCATGTGCAGTCTAGGTCTTGTCAGCACTCATATAGTAAAAGCAAAGAAGTGGAAACTCTGGACCCCGTTTAAAAAAATCCTGGATCCGCCACTGAGTATACAGCTCTTATCAGTGACTTTCAAAAAAAACTCGTTCAAAGAACTCTTTTTCTAACTAAGTTCGTTCTAAGACCTCTTCTCTTAACTTGCGATCGAGGCTTAGGGGTCAGTCATTTCTTATCGGTATTTTTAGAAAGGGAATGCAGAATCTGGTTGATTCCTTGGGATAAGACCTGTTGCTGTGATAAACACTGAGCAAAAAATTGTGCCATCTTGATTTCGTGTTGTCGATTTGCCTCAGCCTGCTCCTTCTGAAAGCCCACGAACATCCTTTCCCTCCTCTCTTCAGCATCCAACAAGTGCTTGATAATCTCCACGTAACGGTCGCTCTCAGATTTGCATACACGACTGATAGGGTTGATACCAGGGGATAAACTCGGTCCAACTTCGTTAATTCTTTCGTTCGAGCCGTCAAGTCTCATAGCTTTTCGTGGTGGACTTTCCGAGGTCGAGTCTTCGCTTCTCGCCCGAGTAAGTCGTTGAAATGTCTGTCCATCCCTAGATGTAGCCGTATTATTATTTGGCACCCTCACTATTACTATTGGATCGACTCTTGGGATCTCGCTGCTTAGGATATCGTTTGGCGGTTTGTTTATGCGAGGTTGAGCCGTTTCTACTCGTTCTGTTTCAAAACTTTCAGGTCTATTCAACGCTGACACGATGTTTCGTTTCTTTGTCGCAGCGTGCGAGTCTTTGTCTACATGCGACTCGCCATTTTGTAGCGAGCCGTTTTCAATCACCATAGAAGGCCTCTGTCTTGGCTCATCTTTATTTACATTCTGGTAGACTGAAAACACAGGATCGAGAAGTTTATACCAGCCGGGGATTTTCATTTCTTCGGCCTGCAGCCCGTAGTTTAGTTTGCTTTGAATAATTTTCCATTCTCGCTTCAACCATTTATATTTAGCTCGAAGTTGAGGCACAGAGAACGTCGCTTCTTCGTCATTGTCTCGAAAACTTTGATCTATCTTGACTAACTCTTCCTCCAGACTTGTTTGAATTTCTCGAAAGAGCTTTTCATTTGAAGACTTTTTCACCGCTAAGTTTTCAAGTTCTTCCGCCCAGGACGATTGCTCTCCGTCTTTAGAAGATCGAAGAGAGAGTACCGCAGCGAATAAGTCCGTCTGTTGCTCGCTCCATTTCTTGACGACTTTATTCGTTCGTCTTCCATCTATAACATCGACATGAACCTGTGAAATTCCTTCAAACGTCGCCATAATCATATGACAAATTAAATATGTTGTTTTGCTCCAGAAGGCTATGTTTTACAATATTTTGATCGTGTAAACTTCGCTTAAACGTCTAGAGTTTTTGGCACAGACGATAACCCGACTAGAGTTTCATAAGTGTCGAAAGATGAATTATTCGTCTGGAAACGCGATACAGCTCATTAGCATATATCACTTAAGCGATTCTGAAGTGAGTCAGACAAAATCCGTAAAAAATAAAATCAAGCTCGTTCGATCTTGGATTTGTATTTTTTTGCCGAGTAAAAAGAAAATACAAAAATACCAAATAAAGTGGCATGCCATAGCAAAGTTTTGTAGGTCTACGAAATCTACCGAGATTTACTGAACTTAGGCTGCGTTCATAATGTATGGCAG